AGCCTGCCTCCAATTCTGTGTCTCCCTCTCTCTCTCTGCCCCTCCCCCACTCACGCTCTGTCTCTCTCTGTCTCAGAAATAAATAAACATTAAAAATTTTTTTTTAAAATTTTTTCTTAAAGAACCGTGCAGATGGTTTTGTAACCTGAGAAGTTCCAACAAAACCTTTCAAAACCTTATACGTGCGAACATCTAAAGTGCTGGAGAAGGGAACGGGAAGTCCTGTTTGGGAGAACGTTCTGGATCCCCCACGGGATCTGCTGAGGTGGTGCTGGGTGCTGGGGAGGGGTGCAATCTGGACGAATTGTCTTGACATCTCCATCTCTGAGATCTTGGGTCTGATCACCTAACATCTCTGGGGCCCCGTTTCTCATTAGATCGCTAGGATGCCTCTCCGTTCACAAGCTCAGTGATTCCACACGGAAAGAAAGGAGGAAGGAGAAAAGATGCTTACATCAGTCGCCAGTAGCTCTTTACTGTCATCGATGCTGGCCACGGTGACCTCTCCTTGGCTCACGAAGGGGAAGTCAAAGGGATTGGTTGAAATGAGGAGCAAGTCTGTGAAACACGAAGGAGGTCCCGTCAGCGCCTCGCGCACCTTGTACGCGGGGTGTTTTTCCCACGTGACTGATTTGGAAGATGAGAGAAATAACCCCTAAGACCTTACCGATTAGTTCTGGCTTCTTGTTTGACATGATTTGGTAAAAAATGTGATAGCTTCTCTCACTGGACAGCTGAAATGTCACTCTGGATTTTTCTAAGAGATCTAAGGGAACAGGAAATAATGTGATTTGAGGTCCCTGGGAGATGCCTCTGTGGTCAAATCCCATGGTGCCCAGTGGGGTGCCCTGACTCACAGGTTTCGATGTCTGCAGATGCCAGCTTTCCCGTGGCTCCGAAATGAATCCGAATGAATTTCCCCTGTCCAATGGCAGGTAGACAAACATCACCATTATTTCATGTATATGGCAGTGTGGCTGGCTTTTGCTAGGGACTACCAGCCATGAGTGGGAAATGTAGGATCACGGAGAAAGTGATGCCAGATGCAGAGGACTTGCCTCTTCTCTGTCTGCCTGGCATCCGGTGTCCCCATTCTGGGTCCATCAAGACTCAGATAGTTCTACCCAAAGCATCTGGCCCTGTTCCTCCAGCTCTGGGGACGCCCACAGCCTCCCTCACCAACTTCCTTGAGACCACCTCATGCTAGACTGTCCCCTTGGTTTTTAACCTGCTCTCTGGTACCCGGATTCCCAAACACTTCATGACAACTTTGATGGCTCTCATTGGATTGTCTTGCTGACCTCCTTTGTTCCTTCTGAGATTTCTTCCTTTGGTTTCCCTTACTGCTTACTACAGGCAACCCTAGCTTCCAGGCTCAGGCCAGACTCTCTGGCTCCCCAAATACACATTCTGAGTCTGAGTTCTGCCCTTTGGAGGGGAGGCGAGAGGTGAAATTTTACGAGTGATTGGTCTCTACCAAACTGTGAGCAAATTTGAGGGCAAAAATGTTGCCTTGCTTATTCACCCATAGTCAGGAATGTGGTCGTTACTCAGTAATATTCTCAATATTTTCTTCTTTTATTTTGAGCTTATTTATTTATTTTGAGAGAGATAGGGAGAGAGAGAATCCCAAGCAGGCTCCACACTCTCAGTGCAGAGCCCAAAAGGAGGCTCGATCCCATGAACCGTGAGATCGTGACCTGAGCCAATACCAAGGATCAGATGCTTGAATGACTGAGCCACCCAGATGCCCTGGTATATTTTCTGAATGAAACTTGAGAAGAGTTGGTGTAGGGCCAGTGGAGGTATGAGTGAACTGTAAGTGTTGGTCTTCGGTATTGTTAGCTGCTCAGTGGGAGATGATGGAAGTTTTAGCCTGCAGATGTTTGGTGGGTGGGCAGAAGGTAGACAGAATACCCAGGGTGATCGTGACTTCTGGGTCTGGGCCAAGAGGAGAGGCCTAAGCACTATAGGGGGTGTCTAAAGGCATCGTCTTCCTCAGGGCACCAGGTTAGCTCAATAACTGACTTGATGCCAATGTATGCACCATGTCTCTGCTGTGTAACATGCACCCAGATCCCCTACGAGCAAGAGATTTTAGTTGTGCACAGGGAGGACAGATGTGCAAATGAGCAATGCACAGAGGACCGAGGGAAAGAAAGAAAGAAAAGTCAGGGCTCATTGTCACAGTCCTTGATGGCTACATCTACTCTCTCATCGGTGACCACTTTATCTTTGAGAAATAACGATGAAACACAAGCTTGAGATTATCCACTTCCTGAGATGTGTGAAGTCCTGATGTACTTTTGCAACTACAGGCATAAATGAGGGCTTCACCTCGTGGTATTTGCTCACCTCCTGGTACAGTGAGATTGGGTAGAGGACTGGTTGTTTATTTGCCAATGGAGGAAGTCAATGCCTCTTTGGCTGAGCTAAACTTAAGTGTGACATTGAAGGATGGAACATATCCTTCAGTATTTTCAACATCAACTTATTCCCAGGTTTTGGGCTCTCCTGCCTTCACAGGACTTTTCCTTTTCCCAATGCCTCTGACTTGGAGAAATTAAAGCTGCTCACTTAATTCACACTAAGGTTTATGTGGCTAATAAGCCAATGAGATTGCTCAACGGACTTCAACATTTTAAAATGTGCTACCTCAAGGGGCGTCTGGGTGGCTCAGTAGATTAAGCATCTGACTCTTGGTATCGGCTCAGGTCATGATCTCACAGTTCGTGGGGTCGAGCCCCTCATCAGGCTCTGTGCTGAGCCTATAGCCTGCTTAAGATTTTCTCTCTCCCTCTGCACCCCCCCCCCCAAAAAAAGTTTCTGCCTCAAGACACCAATTTTAGCATAAAAGAATTGCTCTCTACTTGTGGAACCTGAATCACCATAACTTCAGGATGCTCTGAGATGTCACTGTCTAGTTAGGAAGGGACAGATAATTCTCCCTCTGCCAAGAATGAGCCAACACATTCTTCAGTGTATCAGAATATCCCAGCAGGGCAGATAGATCTGAATCACGTGAGGGTAGAATAGGGCTGGCTATATTCTGGTTTATGTGGCATTTTTTAATATCCAGCATTTGAGGAGAGGGTTTGGTTCTGGGGTGGGGGTGGGGGGGGTGTGGAAAATTGGACTGGGTCTTACAAATCTTGAGGAGTTGTCATTCCTCACAGTCTTGGCGTTTCCAAAGGCCTCCAGCAGGGGATTGGCCTGGATGATTTGATCTTCCAGGGTCCCCTAATAATAAACAAGAAAAGACAAAGGGAGGACTTTGGACTGTCCCCTGAAGGAGCCCCCTGGTAACTCGAATGTGTGCATGCTCTGGGCAGGGTCCAAGGAGAGATGCTGACCAGTCCAGCCCGGTGGCCAGTGCAGATGTGAGAAGGAACCCACGGCCTCACCCCCCATCTCCCGAGGAGGCTTCAAGGTCCCATCAGGAGACGGTCTGATTAGTATAACATTGACGTGACTCTGGTCACACCAGATTTCAGGCTTCATCTTGATTTTTCAGGCTGCCTTTCTTCTCTGATAACACTTCATTATAAAGCATGGATTTTTAGAATACATACACCCGTTACTGCATGCATCGGGACCCAACTAATAGATTTGGATTCAGAAGTATAAATAGAATTGAGCAATTAAAGTGACCCAAGAGATCACTTATAGAAATAGTGGTTCTCAAAAAAATTTTAAGTAGCAAAAAATATGTCATGAGAACTATTGCTCAGAAGTCCGCTTAAAGAAAATGTCAGGCTCTGTGCTGACAGCTCGGAGCCTGGAGCCTGCTTCGGATTCTGTGTCTCCCTCTCTCTCTGCCCCTCCCCCACTCATGCTCTGTCTCTCTCTGTCTCAGAAATAAACATTAAAAAAATTTTTTTAAGAAGGTAGAACTTTTACCCTCACCCCCCACCACGACTGCTTATCCTTCTGTCTCCAGGGCAGTTTTCAAACTCCTGTCCTGCCCAGCTGGTTCTCAAAGTGTGATCCCTGGACCAGTTGCGTGAACAGAGGGAACGTGATGAAAATGCAAAGCGTCAGCGTTGTGAATGTGAGATTGGCATTTCGGTCAGAAATTCTGGGCCAGGGGCTTAGCGATCGGTCATTCACAAGCCCTCCTGGTGATTCTTACGTGCGCTCACCTGTTTTTTTAGAGCCCCTGGCCTGAAGCATCCCTCCTGGAGGGGAGTACATAGTGAGTTGCTCACCTGTCCCTGGCTTTTCCTGACGGGGCTGGTGCCACCACCTCCCGCCCTGCCCCGCAAGCACCCTTAGGACACGACGAGGTGCACTGCCTACACTTGGTGCTCACACACTCTTTAAGTTGGACTTATGCCCGCAAACCTCCCGATGGAGGGAGCTGCTTACCTGCATCTTGCCTGGCTGCTGCTCCTTCTTTTTGTCCCCAGTGACCGCAATTGTTGCAAAGTACTGGATGACACGCTTGGTGTTCACGGTCTTCCCCGCGCCGGATTCTCCGCTGCCGATTTAAAAGTAAGGGAGATAAAAGGGTGGAAGGGACAGTGCCGGCTTCCGTGTCCTCATGGTGCAAACAGAGGTTACTCACGTGATGAGGATGGACTGATTGTCTCGATCTGGAAATGCAGAGGGAAGACGACGGAATAAAGAAACAGCAAACACACGGAATAAAAAACAAAAAACAAAAAACAGGGCAACATCGGGTGTGGTCGGGGTCCATGTGGCGCTGACCTGAACTAGCGGTGTGAGGCTGGGGCGTGTCTAATCTTCCTCGAGACCATTGGTGCAGGTTTCCCAAATGTGGGATGTGCACCACGGACAGCGTGGCGAGTGAACAGTGAGTCCCACAGTGTGAAAGTTTTTCTTGTTCATGGGTCTTTAACTCCTTGCCAGCCATTTCTCAACAAAGAACAAGTCTCAGACTCAGGGCTTGTGGGAAGGCACGGCTCCTAATTAGAATCTATGGGCACTGATTGGTTGTCATTGAGATTTTCTTTTACCTTTATTCTGTACTCGTGGAAAGTGACCGTGGTTTTCCATTTACAGTTGCTTATGAGTTGAGTGGTGTCCCCCACAAATTCATATGTTGAGATCCTTACCCCCAGGACCTCAGAATGTGACCTTGTTTGGAAACAGGGTCTTTGCAGGTGCTATTGGTGAAGATAAGGTCGCCCTGGGGTGGGTGGGGCCCAAAACCAATATGATTTCGGTCCTTATCAAAAGGAGAGGTTTGGAGATAGATCCACTCAGGGAGAACACCATGTAAAGGCAAATGTATAAGCAGAGTGATGTTTTTACAAGCCAAGGAACCCCACAGATAGCCAGGAAACCCCCAGAAACTGCAAGAGGGGCAGGGGACAGATTCTGCCTCTCCGCCCTTGGAAGGACCCAACCATGCTGATACCCCAGCCTTGGACTTTCCACCTCCAGACTTTGAGACAATAATTTCTGTTGTGTAAGCAACCTGCTTTATGGGATTTTGCCACAGCAGCCCTAGAAACTCATACAAATAGTGGTATTGGGGGTGCTTGGGTGGCTCCATCAGTTAAACATCCGACTCTTGATTTCATCTCAGGTCATGATCTCATGGTTTGTGGGATCGAGCCCCACGTTGGGCTCCACTCTGAGTGTGGAATCTGCGTAAGATTCTCTCTCTCTCTGACCCTCCCCAACTCATGTGCATGCCTTTCTCTCTCTCTCTCTTAAAATAAGTAAATAAGCTTTAACCCCCCCCCCCTCCACAGGGCACCTGGGGGCTCAGTCAGTTAAGCCTCTGAGTTCGACTCAGGTTATGATCTCATGGTTTGTGGGTTTGAGCCCCACATCGGGCTCTGTGCTGACAGCTCAGAGCCTGGAGCCTACTTTAGATTCTGGGTCTCCCTCTCTCTCTGTCCCTCCCTTGCTCATGCTCTGCCTCTCTCTCTCTCAAAGATGAATAAACATTAAAAAAATATTAAACCCTCCTCAAACAAACAAAAAAATAGTGCTATTGATCTTCCTTTTCAAACTGATGTAACTTTAGTTGATTTGCAGACAAACATGAAATGTACAGTAATGTCTAGGACTGAGTGTGAGAGAGGAAGGGCTGAGGTCTGGACAGCATGAGGTTTAGGAGATGACTTTCAGGGTCGTCAAATCTCAGAGGCTTGCTTCTGCTTCTTGAGTCTGCACCAAATCGAGTCAGGTGAAAGTAGCACAGGTCAAAGTGACAGAAAACAGGGTGTCGTCTCAGAGACGACACTATCGTCACATCTCTACATCCTGTGCCCTCCTGGAAATTTAGGGAAGAGACAGAGGAACCCGAGTCTGGGGAGGAAGACAGCGCAGGGACTTTGCTATGCGCATTTCTCCAACTTTGCTTTCTAGCTGCCACTAATAGGCTCCCTTCTAAGCATGCTCATGTTGGGGGATTCTGTGGAGGTAAGGGCAGGGCATCTCTCTGCGTTCCTGGTCCCCCCCGCCCCCCCCAGTAAGCATGTGCGCAGCGCAGCATCAGTCGTCAGCACTGGCCTACGAACCATGGCTGCTAATGGAAGATACCGCAAAATCATCATGTAATCATCGGAGTCTCCCAAGGTCACTTTGCTCATCGCCCCATCCAGATGATCGAAGGGCTTGAATAATTAGCTGAGAAGCAGTCCAATTAAAGGGCTTGAATAAGGAACTAAAAACTATTCGCAAAAAATACGGATTGAGGAAATGACTCACCCGTCAGCATGAACTGATAGGCGTTGTCGGAGATGGAGAAGATGTGGGGCGGGGCCTCTTGGCGCTTCTTGCCTCGGTAGGCGGCCACCACCTCGGGGTTGTACACCGGCAGCCACTTGTAGGGGTTGACGGTGACGCAGAAGAGGCCCGAGTAGGTCTGAGAAAACCAGAAAATGCAGCATGTGGATCTTGCTTTACTCGGAGAGGGGGACGGCTTAATAAGGAGATGCCAAAGGGCACTCACGTAGATCATCCAGGCTGTGTAACGCTCTTTGAGGTTGTACAGCACGGCGGGCTCGTGCAGATGCGTCATCATGGCCATGTCCTCGATCTTGTCAAACTTGGGAGGGTTCATGGGGAACACCTGGTCACTGTTCAGGGTGAGTGTCTGGGGATTGAGAGGAAAAGCACATGATGAGTAGGAGAGCCAATGCTCTGTACCCCACTCTACCTGGTGCGGAGGAAGTCGTGAGACACTGCAGTGTGATCACCCCACTACCATGAACAGCTTTATGGATCATCTCCGTTCCCAGAGATGATCCACAAAGAACTATCCTTGATTAACCTAATCCCGGTCAAACTGCATGACCGGGTCTGGTCTGGTGCCCCCTGTCAGCATGCCATCCCACGTGCGGGGAATGAGCCACAGGTACGCACGGCGATAGAGCCCTTTAGCCCTCGGGGTCCAAGTGGGACTCGGGATGGCCAAGGCCAGGGCAGGGCGGGCCGCCTCTGTTCGACCCATTTGCCGTGAGTGCTGATATGAGACAAAGGTCGAGAGGCTGGAAGGAAGTATTCCAGTGTATTCTGTGCATTTCCACCTCAATACCTCTGCTCACATGGGTTCCTTTGTCTCGAGTACCTTCACCGAAATTATGTTCAGAACCCTTCAAAGTTCAGCTCAGGCGACACCTCCTCTGTGACCTGTTTCCTGTCTCCCTATCTTTTCCGGGGTTCCATCATTCTTTGCATTTACAGCATTTGGGCTTGCACCATGGTCCGTGGTCAAACTGTATATTTCTGAGACTATTACTTAATTTCCCTTCTGTGGGTTTCCCCTCAGAAGGCAAAAAGGCGGGGATTTGTTGGTACGGGCCAAATCTCTTGAGGAAAGGAGACTCATTTGCCCTGCTGCTCTGCAATAGAGTAAGATACCCAAGATAGCATAAGGGGAGATGGAAAATTCTGTGTATCCTGAACCTTCAGACATTGGGACTTGTTTCTTTTCAGATCATTCAGGGAAGCAGTGAGATCCTCAGCGTGTGACCGTGTAAGATTCCGAAAATGAGGCACAACCAAGGGAGGGGCCCCCAAGAATGACTGAAGAAAATTTATTTCCAGCTCAGTGCAAAGAGGCTGAAATCAGAGGTTAAGTTCAATAAACAAACAACACATAAAGATCTGCCTTGTATGCCTGAGTTTGTGAACTGAGACTCACACCTGCCACTCACATCTTGATTCCTACACAAGATGGTAAACTTTGGGAAGGCAGGTTGTGAGATTTGCTTCTGTCTGCAAAGTGATGGACGCCAGGCGTGGTGGGCGTCCAGTGAATATTGAATTGAATGGTGCCCTGTAATTCTCTACATTGAGCTAGGAATTGCCTCTAGTGTTTTCTCTATAAGTCACTCTGCAGCCTAGGGAATGACATTTGCCTGGCCCACCCAGCAGCAACCAGCATCGATCTTTCCCTTAAATGGTCCAACCTCTGCCACCCGAAACTTCTCCTTTCTCCAAAGCAAACATCACAAAAACTCTCAAAGCCCAAGTCCCAGAAAAACGAAAGAAGCAGGAATGAAGGCGTTTGCAAATGTCACTTCACTACGGAATAGATCAACGTTAGTTGTGTTCTGTCTTCACATTGCTACGGACTAGCACGTGATTTCCAATATTCCACGCCAAAGGTACATGAGAATGCCCACATTTTCAAGGACATCTGAGATCAACACTTACCCGGTCATCCAGCGTCTTGACCGTGACTTTGTCATTTTCCCTGCTCTGGATCATACCTTTCACGTACATTTCCTTATCATCTACTGCAAAGCAGGCTTTCTTAGAATCAAAGGGGCGGTTTTGTGCCTCGATTCTCTCCTTCTCTGGCTTCCGCAGGTAGGGAGCCGCCTCTCCAAAAATGGCCATCTCGGCATCGGAACTCATGACTGCAGGGGGGCTGGGAAGACCAGGGAGATGGCTGAGTCTGGAGCCTGGGTGACTCCTGAATCTGAAGGGTCCCACCCTATTATTTCTACCCATCCCAGGGGGTCGGATCAAAAGCTCCTGGGATTAATTTAGGTCATGAGGAATCCAGGACCATGTCTAGGGGCTTAGAGTGGGCAAGGAGCAATGAGCTAAGGGAGAGACTGCATCCTAAGAAAAATGGTTGAGGGGTGGTTTTCATCCCTGGGTGCTGATTTGGGGGGATATCTCTTAGTTCAGCTCCACGCTCGGAAGGAAGTCTGAACCAACCAGAGTGAGCCCAACAAAGGTGAGCCCAACAAAAGAGGACTTGGGAAGCACTTCCTTAATGACATACCTTGTTTGAGCCCTGTGATCTCAAATCTTAAGATGCTCTTAAGAGTCCCAAATCTTAAGGGTGTCTGAAAACAGTGATTGGGATGTTGATAGTTCCTAGTAGAAATTTCAGACAGCCCAATGGAAAGTAATGACTTGAACATAAATACTCTTGCCACACTCGCTTAGAACATTCTAGGCAGCAAGCTGATGGGAAGAATTATGGCCAAATACAGTGGTTCTACATTTTAATGTGCACCAGAGTTTACCTGGAGGGCTTGTTAAAACACAGAGGGCTGGGCCCCAACCCTGGAGTTTTGATTCAGTAGGTCTGGGGGAGGGCCTGAGAATTTGCATTTCTAGCAAGTTCCGAGGTGATGCTGCTGCTGCTGGTCTAGGGACCACATCTGAGAACTGCTGGCCTCAAACTTTCTTATAAATGTGGTCCTTGAACCTGTTATAATTGCACCACCCAGGGATGTGCTGGAAATGCAGAACCCACGCCGGATACAGAATCAGAAGCTGCATTAAAAAAAATTTTTTAATGTTTATTTATTTTTAAGAGAGAGAGACAGGGTGTGAGTGGGAGAGGGGCAGAGAGAGAGGGAGACAGAGGATCCGAAGCGGGCTCCAGGCTCCGAGCTGTCAGCACAGAGCCCGATGTGGGGCTCGAACCCACAAATGGTGAGATCATGACCTGAGCCGAAGTCGGATGCTTGAATTGACTGAGCCGCCCTGGTGCCCCCAGAAGCTGCATTTTAATGAGATTCCATAGGCGGTAAGTCCCCAGATTACACCTGCCTTACAACTCACTGGCTGGTGTGTGTGTGTGTGAGTATGTGTACACGTGCCTCTGCCTCTCCCTCTCTCCCCTCTCCCTCCCTCCATCCTATCCCTCCCTCCCCAAACCATCCCCCCTTCATTGATCCTTCTATGTATTTTCCCTGCTTAGAAGCCAGAAAACCTGGCTTTAATTTCTGGCTTTAACGTCCCAGTGCTGCACTTAAACCACTTAGCTTCACCGGGCCTCTGTTTCCACTTAATTTTTTAAAAAAATGTTTATTTATTTTTGAGAGAGAGAGAGAGAGAGAGAGAGAGAGAGGCCACAAGCAGGGGAGGGGCAGAGAGAGACACACAGAATTTGAAGCAGGCTCCAGCCTCCATCCGAGCTGTCAGCACAGAGCTCAACGCAGGGCTCGAACTCACAAACTGTGAGATCATGACCTGAGCCGAAGTCGACACTCAACCAACTGAGCCACCCAGGCGCCCCTCTATTTCCACTTAAAATGAGGTCGCAAGTCTAGCTTATTTCTAAGGCCCCTGCAGATGCTGTGACTCTCAGACTCCTTTTCTGCCTCTGCACCTGCTTGTCCCGCCCCCTTTGGATTCTGACTGCCCCCCTCCCACCCTGGGTCCCCTCCACTTCTTTTCCCCCAGTTACCCACCTTCCCTTTCCCTCCTGTTTCCCTCCTACTTGTTCTCCTGTAACTGATTATAGAGTGAAGTTACACACGTGTATCCCCATAGCTCTCTTAAGAGAAGTTCATCTCTTTTTCTAATAAGGCCTTTTACGTTTCCTATTAAAAGTAGGAGGATTGAACTGTTTATGGTTCTCTCTTGGAAGTCAGTCTCCCCCAGCTTACCCGTTATGAAATTGCTCTTCATGGGTAACAGTTGTTTTATTATTCCTTCTGGTGCCACTGTGGGGTTTTATTCCTACAGGCAGAGAAGCATTTGCTTCCCTCTGGGCCTTATTCGGCTAGGCTGCATCGTAATTCTACTTTGGTCAGTGCCTCCGCTGAACCATGGTGGTTAGATTTTCAGAGGAGAGACTAGACATTAGAAATTAAAGTGGAGAGCATTTAAAAATATTCATTAATTCGTTTAAAATTACTATTAGGGACACCTAGGGGGCTTAGTCGGCTAAGCATCCAACTCTCGATCTCGGCTCAGGTCACGATCTCACGCTTTGTGGGTTTGAGCCCCATGTTGGGCTCTGTGCTGGCAGTGTGGCACTTACTTAGACTTCTCTCTCCTTTTCTCTCTGCCCCTCCCCCCCAAAATAAATAAACTTAAAAAATAAGTAAAATAAAATTACTATCAAATCCATTACCTGTTAGTGTAAATAATACATTTTTATGCAAATGACTATATTTTCCAGAACAAAAATGAATTAGTGTGAAGAGTAGCATTGTTTCTTATTTTTGCAACTTTCTTTAATGTCTGCTGAATAAAAGACAGCTGGATTTTCATGCCTGCTTCTGTACTCAGCCTGTTACTGGAAGTTTTATTTTTGTTGTTAATTTTTTTTCACATTTATTTATTTTTGAAAGACAGAGCAAGACAGAGCATGAGTGGGTTAGGAGCAGAGAGAGAGGGAGACACGGAATCCGAAGCAGGCTCCAGGCTCTGAGCTGTCAGCACAAAGCCCAATGTGGGGCTCGAACCCATGACTGTGAAATCATGACCTGAGCCGAGGTTGGATGCTTAACCGACTGAGCCACCCAGGTGTGCCTTGCTTATTTGTTTTATTTTGGTTAAAGTAAATACAGAAAATCTGGCCTTCTACAGTTACGTAGTTTGGAAAAGGAGAGAGTATTTTCATTGTCTTTTCAAATAATTGTGAATATTCTTCTTAGATATTGTACCAAAACATGACAAGTGGTAGTTCCTTAAAGGCTAATTGCAATGTGGAATAAAATCTGAAACTGTATCCAGGAATGTTTTGTACGATGTGGGGCTCAAACCCATGAACTGCGAGACCATGACCTGAGCTAAGTTGGACGCTTAACTGACTGAGCCACCCAGGCGCCCCCTGTATTTGAACTTTGAATGGATCTTTTCCCACCTGTGAACATCATACGTGAGTCCCTTGGAAAATATTGGTTCCCTGAGTTATACGAAACTTCCAAATGTTAACATGTTTCGAAACAGGATATGAAACAATCACAATTATCAATGTCTGCACTGACTTCATTAGAAAATTCTTCAAGTATTAGGAAGTTGTCAAGTTAGTGGTAGCAGATGCAAGTATTCAAAAATTCTAATTTTTGCTTGAAAGCTCAAATATAGGACCACCTGGGTGGCTCAGTCGGTTAAGCATCTGACTTTGGCTCAGGTCACGATCTTACAGTTTGTGGGTTCGAGGCCCGCATCGGGCTCTGTGCTGATGTCTCGGAGCCTGGAGCCTGCTTCGGATTCTGTGTCTCCCTCTCTGCCCCTCCCCCACTCATGCTCTGTCTCTCTCTCTCAAAAAATAAATAAGCATTAAAAAAAAAAGAAAGTTCAACTGTATCATTAGTAACAAATACTGTCAGGTGTTTTTCTCAAAATGATAAGCAGACTTCATTCCTTTCTGAGAACATGTCTGCCAAATATCCAGTTCTGGAAAACCACATTTCTTTCAAGTATTGATGGCACCGTGTGAATATAGTGGCTAGCTCATACTGCAACTCAAGCAACTGTGCATGTGCTTTTCCTGGAGACAACCACCTAACTCTGTCTGGTACGTAGCAGGAGTGCCTTCCACAGACTTCCCATTTCATCACAGAGAATATTCTAAATATATGTATGCAAGAATTGAAGGATGCTAAAATTAATAATTTTTGTTGCTTGAAATTGTAATTTTTAAGTACAGTTGGCTTTTATTTTTTAATTTAGTTTTTTAAGAATTTTTAAATGTTTCATTTATTTTTGAGAGAGAGAGGGAGAGAGAGAGAAAGTGGGGGAGGGGCAGAGAGCGAGGGAGACAGAGGATCTGAAGAAGGCTCTGTGCTGACAGCAGAGAGCCCAGTGCAGGACTGGAACTCGCAGAACCTCATGAACTGTGAGATCATGACCTGGGCCAAAGTTGGATACTCAGTCGTCTGAGCCACCCAGGTGCCCCCAAAACTGGCTTTTTAAATTAAAAACAATTTTTTTTCCAACTAGTCTGGCTTGGTGGCATCCCTTGATTTGTAATAAAGCACCGGAAGTCTTGCCCACTGTTGTTTTGCATCATTAGGTTAACACAGTGAAACAAGGCAAATAGTATCTAGGCATTATTATGAAAATTGTCTGGATCTCCTGTTCCTCCTGAAAAGTTCTTAGGAATCTCTGAAGATCTGCAGGTTACACTTGAGAGTTGTTGGCACAATGAGGGAATCTTGTCAGGTTACAGGTGTATGACCTTACATGATTTAGCATGGGTTAGCATTCAGCATGATACCCAGTGTTGGAAAATGATCTACGTCAATCATTGGCAACAGAATCTCTGTGGCTGAGGCTGGGGAACCTGAATTCTTCCCAAGGGCCTCAAACCCAGCGATGTTTGGGAACTACTAGCTTGAGTCATTATTTTGCTCTCCTGAAACCACTCTTTCCAAAACCATGGCATGGTCCATCGGTCCTGCACAAAATGACCTTAGGCAAATATTTCTTAATTGTAATAATCATGTGTTCGTTAAATCTATTATCGTATCAAGACTTAACTGTCATCAATTGCGAGGTAAATTATTTCATGTTTCAGAAATAAAAAAAAACGCACCTCACTACAGTCCTCATTTCACTGATTGTAAGATGCTTCTCATGTTCAGAGATAATATTTTGTGAAAAATGTGAAGAAAATTAAAATGGGTCAAATCAATCAAGGGTGATTGATATGTGTC